GGTTGAGCTATAGGCGCCGAGCCTAGTTTTTCCATTTTTAGTAGAGGTGGTGTCTCTCTCTTGCTCAGGCTGGTCTCAAACACCAGAGCTCAAGCAATCTACCTACTTTGGCCTCTCAGAGGCATGAGCCACTGTGCCTGGCTGATTCTGGGAGTCTTTATCTCTATGCTGAGATAAAGAAGCCACCCACCCAAAATTGGACCATTCTCTTTTTTGTTCCCTTTTGGTTCACCCAGTTGCCCTATTTCTCTGTCCCCTCCCCTCAACCCCCAGTATCCCCTGAATCCCCCAGGAAAGTACCTCTCGAGAGCTCCTGGTTCTCCACACAAAAGGTGCGTTGGTAGGTTGGGACCTGGCAGGTGTTGCCTTGTAGAGGGCATTCCTGCCTACACGATCTATAGAGAATGCAGAGCTCAGGAATGATGTACAGCAGCAGAAATACCCATGCGTTGGTGACCAGGCCGATGCAGATGACCGGGTCGTCCCAGTGGGGCTGTCGCTGGAACTGTGGGTTGCCTCTCAGCAGCATGGAGATCCACACCACCCAGATAATGATGGAGAAGAGCACAGTGACGAAGATGAGCCTTCCATGCTGCTTCCAGTTCTCACATGGGCCACACAGGGTGGCTTTGGAGACAAAGAACGTGAGGGCCATCAGGAAGAGGACGTAGACCAGAAGTACGACAAAGTCCACGTTGAGCTGGCAGGGTGTCATGTTCATGAATGTCATACCCCTGGTCATAATGAGGGTCACATACTCGATGGCAATAATTGTCTGCAGCAGGCTGCACCCAATTGCAATGCACAGCATTGTTGTCCAAGAGAAGGAGACTCCATTGCGGACCAGCTTCACCAGGTTGGAGGCATGAGCCAAGAGGCATGAGAAGCAGAGTGCAAAGAGAACCCCAAAGAGAAAGAAGCGCACAGGGGCAGTTTGTTGATTGAGCTGGATGATGAAGGCAAAAGCTAGTCCAAAGAGCCCCAGCACCCCGAGGAGAAAGAGGAACTGGGTGGGGAGGACATTCCACTGGCTGCAGTCTTGCACCTTTCGCATGAGGAAGAGAAATGCCAAGAGTAGCATTATTGTAACCACTATGCCAAGTATTGCCAGGGACTCCAGAACAACGCTCCATGGCCCCTCGTTGTCACAGAGGAGAAAATAGTCCCCGGTGGACTTGATGCAGTCCTCGTCCATGATGACTTAAAGGTGGACCTCACAACCTTTTTCTTCTGATCCTCTGCAGAAAAAGATGACACGAATTTAGGACTTCACAGAACCCCACAGTGCCTCTCCCATAGGTAGTCTTACGCCGGGCACCATAACGTGTTTCCCTCAGAAATGAAGACAGCAGGACATAGGACAGAAATGGCTTTACCAAAATTGTCTCAAGGACACTGAAGAGAGTCTGAGTTGCATTTTGTTTGATCCTTGATACTTATTTAAATACTAAGCTTCTCCAGGGGAGAAAATCAGAGGTCTAAAGGGATGGGAAATACCATCACATATATTACCCCCACATTTCTAGCTGCTGTATATAGGATATTAAAAAAAAAAAAAAAAAAAAAGGAAAAATCAACTTAAAACCCTCAAAACTATGTTAGCTCCATCCTTCCTCTGGGAAAAGCAGAATAGACTTCATTTGGGCTTCCAGATAATTAATCTGGATAATTAATTGCATTTTTATATCACAGTGTCCTAGGCTTTTTGAAAACAAATGCAACATCTTTTTCATAAAATAGAGTATGTGACAACGTTGCATGATTGATGGAATTCCACTTATATCAAGCTCTGGAACAAGGGCTAATGGATCATTCTAGACACCGGTGCACTGCTTGAAGGAGACAGGCAGATGATTTTTCTCAGTAATTTAAATGACTGCTCCCTTTTTCAATTCAATTTAAGTCAATCTAATGCAACAGGTTATAATTAAATGCCAACGATTTGTTCATCAAAGAATTATACAAAATGATCCTTTCCTTTAAATAACTTTTCAAATAGTTTAGCACCACATTCTATGTCTTGACTGAAGTGGCTTAGAAAAAAAAAATCCCACAAATTCATCTGGAAAAACAATAACTTGCAGTTGAATACCCCCCAGCTCTGTTTCCCTTCAGGTAGTCCCAGAGCTGATGGAGGCATCCAGGTTTGCAGCTGAGGGCATGGGCCTTCATTGCCCACTTACCTTGGGTTTGTCCACTCTGGAAGCTGAGGCTGTGGCCCTGGCCAGGTTGTAACTGCCAATGAGTAAGGAGGAGACGACCTCAGCTTCTTTAATCTCTCCCCAAATGGGCGGAAGAACTCCAGGCCCTCACTCACGTTCCTGCAGGGCCTATAAAAAGAACCAGAAGGACAGAAAGACACACCTATTCCAGTTTCACAGCAACTTTTCTACAGCGATTTCTTTGGTGTGAACAATGACTTTTCCTTCTGCTGCTGAGCAGAGGCACCTGGGCCTCAGGGAGGTCCTGAAGGGGTGTGATTGTAAAGAAGACTGCTTCCTCCCCACATATCCCCGGTGTGTCCAGGAAGCTGCAAGGGGCCCCCAGTTGGCCTCAGGAGAGGACACTTCATCCTTCTTCTGTCTTGCTCCTTAAGAAAGCCAGCCCCAAGGGACTCCCCTGCGTCTTGATTTTAATTGTGAGATTCAAATAACCAGCCACTCAACCAAGGCATACAAAGGTAAAGAGC